GATAATTTCCCTTCTCGTTCACTGCACTCACTCGTGAGTGTTGAACACGAGACAGGAAATTCCATACCTACGGGGAACCATCTATTTTTTTGTTTATTATATAAACACCATATGCATTTACTGACAAAAGTAAATTCAACAAACAACCTTGGATTGAGAAAAGTAAACGCACTTTGCACCAAATCATCCATCTTAAAAAAAAATAAAAAAAGGAGTTTATCGAGGATTATTTTCTAAATAATTTGCTAAAACTGTTTTTCCATAAGGCCTTTTATGAACGAAAAAACTACTTCGATCACTTCCCTCTGAGTAGCATCTACATCTGGATGTGTAAATAATTATAACGTTCATTTAAAAACTGCAGGTACTTGACGCGAATGACAAAGGATTCGCGGAAGGAATGTAATTTTTTTTTCAAACAAATGTTAAGGGAAGCAAACTGATCATTAAAGTTCATAGAATGCGAACATTTACAGGACTACTACGACTTTGAGATAACGTACAGTAGAAAATAGGAGTAGGAACTAAATTTCTAACACACCAGGTTCATCCCTAAATGTTTCCTAAACCCGAAAGCTAACTACTGTATGAAATGTTGTAAGAAATGTGATGGAAAATTGAAACGGATCGAGTTACCAAAATGTACATACGAACAAAAACTTAAAGCAAGATAAAATAGAAATTGAAAAGAAATGAAAGTAGACCAGCATATACTCTGGCTTCTTTATTTCATCTCTTTATGATTGAGATGAATAGCATAAAATCGTGCAATGCATTCTCATGACTTCTCCGGAGCGATATTATTTTAGAGGAGATGGGACAAAATCCGTAAAGAGAAGCGATCTGTCAATCTTTTTAAAGTGTCTTATCTAAGTCTTATTGGAGAAGTTATAAAAAAAAAATTGCATTTGCTACACTAAATGTATGGTCCCGAGGGAAACAGTTAGTTTCGTTTTCCCTCGAGTCGAGGTAATTTATGCTAATACGCAATGAGACATACCATTGTTTCCTGACATCACGCAGCAGTTTAAAAATGTTTTTACTGATAAATTCAGTATGAACGTGATAAATCGACTCTTCCCGGAAGATAAGTAAATTTGAAAGTTGAACATTATACATCTCAGATGGAGAGTAGTCAACTTATCATTTCTTTTTTAATTGTTTACAGATGCCACCTGTTATGTACACCCAGCCTTTGTGAGTATAAATGAGGTTCTTTCCAGAAATAACACAGCAAAAACTATTTCTTCCTCTGTAAAAAGTTTTGATCTTGGCATTTGAATTCGACGACAAAGATTGAGAAGGATCTTTCCAAATCAAAGTTATTATTGATAAATGGCAAACGAGCGAACGTTGCAACGCCATAAAATTTCAAACTAGAGAAACTTTACAAGTTGTACGCCACATTTATGCCAATTTTTCCAGTAATCCAACCATACTGGGTCATTAAGTTTTTAGCGAAATTTTTGAAGAGAGTATTCTAAACTAGTCCCTAAAGACTTTTGCGTCAATAGCTTTCTTTAGAACTTATAAAATACCCTTTCATGTTCCAGCAATGTTCTAAGGTAAAACAAAATTCTCTGAGATGGTTGAGAGCGGTAAAAATCTACCTCCTTTCGACGAAAAGACATCAAATTCCGTTTGCTAAACTACAATGGAAGTTAACTTAACAGTGTAATACGTGCATGTTATTGAGAGAACAGAGTTGGGAATGTAGGATTTTTTAATTGACTTAATTGGTGGTCGAAGTTGTTTGTATTTTGCATCTTATATCCAACTTTCTGAGTAGGATGCGCTCAAAAATTTTGTCGAATTATTACTCTTTAAGTTTTAAAAAGAAAGAAATGTGTTGGTGTTAATTTTGTGTTGCTATTTATATTACTATTTACCATAATTCAGTCCATCCTCGCCGTGGCCAGAGGCCCTCAATGCTGTTTGCCCTTTGCCTTCTTCTCAGCTCTTCCCAGCTGACTCCTCTCTCCCCCATCTCTTTATTGAATTTCAAGGTTTAAGATTAATAGCAGATTTTATTACGACAATGTCCTTTACTCACGGTTTTTTTCTAACTGAACGACCCCTTTTTTCAATTCACACGTGACAACTTACCCGCGAAAATTTGTCGCGACAATTTACTCGTTACACATGACCCACGAATATTGGCCACTTCTTTTCCTGTAAAACTTGAATTTAAAGATAAAAACAAAAGAAATAATGGGACCATTACTTTCTCTTGATGAAAGCAATTACCTTGTTGTTACGCTATTTGTTGACCTTTGTTACCCTGATAGTAGCAGTATGCAGGACGGGTGTTCGATATATGAAATTTAATATAGTATAGAAGTCTATAGTCATATAGAGTCTCTGTGGCTAAGTTGTAGAACATCGGAACACGGAATCCGAAGGTCTGAGGTTCGATTCCTCGTGAGGGTTCAGACTTTTTCTTCGTCCCACTCCCGAGACAAGATGAAAAAACATCTTTCTTTATTCCTTTACCGAGCCCAAAATCTTACCTTCTTTCTTTTTCTATTAACAAAACATGACGTTAACGACATCGCTGATCCTGGCAGTTTGCAGGAAGCGTATCATGCATGAACTTCGGAGTGGGCCTTGCCCACCACAGACTCTCCGTGGCTCAGTTGTAGAGCATCGGAGGGCGGAGTCCGAAGATTTGAGGTCCGATTCTCATGGGGACTCAGAATTTTTTCTTTGTCTCACGCTCGTGACGAGATGAAAAAAAAATTTCTTTATTTCTTTAGTGGGCTCGAAATCTAACCATCTTTCTTATTCTATTTTTTTACCCTGTGGGTATTTTCGAAATAAGTCAAAAGGTTTATGCATAAGGTGTTTTATGGAGAAGAAACCCAACTTCCTTTTATTAGAGGGGGACGTTTCTAAAGAAATTTTGGTGCTGCGTGGATGGGAGAGTATCAAAGGGTAATTTAGCTTTAGCAACTGAGTTAATAACGTAGATTGGAATCCGTAAAGAGTTTTAAAGCTAACGTTTAGAGCGTTCGCCCTTCGTCAGAGCGAGTAACTACGGACTAACGCTCGATTCGTCAGCTTTAGCCTCAGTACGGTGGCTAATTTAGGTTATCAACTCAGTTGAAAATACTTAATTGTACCTTGTAGCCTCCCTTACTTTCTGCTGAGCATAATTTGGTTCTGGATATGAAAATCATTATGAAGTCCATGGAAAACCTACGAGTACGACGGGAATGACAAAGTATTCTAGGAAATCAGAATAAGTTTTGTTTTCCAGCGAGTGTTGAGGGCAGCAAATTGAACTTTAAAATTCAAAAGGGCGAATGCTCGCAGGACCAATACCAGTTTGAGATATCTTAAATAAGAAAATAGAGGCAGAATTTGAATTTGAACTCGCCAGTTTCATTCTCAAATGTTCCATGAACCCAGAGGCCAACCATTGTAGGAATGGATGCAAAGCGAAAATGAAAATAGACCAGCATATGTTCAAGTGTCTTTATTTCATCTCTATATACTTAGGGTGCATATCGTAAAGTCGCACAGATCATTCTTATGAATTCTCGATTCCAAGCAAGGCCTTTACCAGGACAAGCATTCTTTTCCTTCGTTCTTGAATCGAAGAGAGGAACATCACTAAAGTTAGAAAATTTTTTCCTGACGTCATAAGTACATGTATTATAAATGATAATGGTAAATATATTTATACATCGCCAAACCACTAATTGTCCATAGTGCTTTACGTTAAGATCATAAAAAAGCTAAAAAAAAAGGGGGAAAGAAAGGAAAAAAATACATTTATATTGGGAATAAACAAATTGAAAAATTCTGAGTAATTAAACATATTTTTCATCTAATAAAACTAAAAGGAGTTAAAAGCTAGTTTAAAAGGATACGTTTTAAAATGTCTTTTAAAAATGTCAATTGAAGAACTAGACGTTAGTTCGAGTGGGATCGAGTTCCATAGTCCTGGTCCCGCCACAGCAAACGTTCTCTCTCCACAAGTCTTTAGTCTCGCTTTCGGGGTCGCCAGAAGGTGTTGAAAAGAGGACCTTAGTGTCCATTCAGAGGTGCGATAATTAAGTAAGTCACTGATGCAGCAAGGCACTGCTCCATTGATAGCTTTGTAGAACAGTGGAAGAATTTTATAAATTATACAGTGACGGACAGGAAGCCAGTGAAGCTTTTTTTGTTAGGATTGGGGTCATACGATCAATATCCCAGTACGTGTAACAATTCGAGATGCTATATTTCAAACGGATTGCAATCTTGAAAGTAAATGCTTCGGTAGACCATATAGTAGTGAGTTGTAGTTATCTAATATTGAAGGAATAAAGGCATGAACAACAATTTTGGCACTCTCTCCTTCAATTTACTTTGTAATTTGGGTGACTACTCAAACATACAAACTATACACTGCAACACACTTTTTTTCGAACTCATTATTGCCATAACCCCATTTGAACAAGTCCTCACTGTACCAGATTTGGAATTCTTGGTTCGTCTCCACCGCCAGCGGGGTAGAGAAATTATCAAAGAGTAGTTGTGGTGATTCGGTTGTGGCCCAAGGCAGGCTGTAAAACTTGCAGCCCCAATAATCTGATAGGAAATCACTCTCTGGGAGAAGAAGGTTACGGTTTTTGTTAGTTATCAACGTGGCCATTTGGTTGGGAATGAGACGGTTCTAAAGGCATCTCCATTTGGATTGATAGCTTGGGTTCGATGAATGACAGGTCACGTAACCGGATTTATGCATTAATTTGAATGTAATGATGTTACCCGCCTTGGAAGTTCTAGAGAAACCTTACGAATCATCTCTTGCTCCAAAGCAAACTGTAGATGGCATCATCTGTATCCATCTTACTGTTGGGAAAAGAACCAGCATATATATGATGACTTGATTTTGAACAAAAGAATGGAGTTGGGCTGAATAAGACTTACAGTTGGATTCATCGAAAGATAACTTTGAGGGTTAGGTAGAGTTCTTGATAAAAGTATTTCACCAAATGAAAAATGTATTTTTACCAACCGTTTCTTTTCTCGCAGTTGGTGCCCTTGTATTCAGGTGGACAAAGGCATCTGTAACCTTTGTCTGTAAATCCTGTCTGACAAGTGCCAATATGTTGGGATGGAGTCTGTCCACAAGTTTTCTGGTGTGAAAACGAGGTTTAAAAGCAGATATATGCCAATTGAAGTGGTAAGTGGTAATGATACTTTGAAATGAAAATTGAAATGTCACATGAGATCAAATCAACCAAAGAACCAGCCACGCAACCCGTCAACCATACAAACCAATTGCAAAAAAACCATTGCGCAACCAGCCAAACAACATATCAGTGAAACAACTAACCGTCGAAACATTTACAAGCTAAAAAACCCAAGGTTGAGCTAAATCTACAGACTAATCTACCAAATGACAAGTAATGTTATGCGCATGGTCATGATAGGACACCAACCAACCATCAATAGGATAAGAATGTACTCACCATTGTTGCTTTATATCTGTAGTTTGTCCAAGACTTGAGATCCTGATGATGTTCATTGTGTGTGGAATTTTTCAGTTCACATTTTATGATTACTGGAGATCCGCTGGTCATTTATTAGTTATAGCTGACACAGTTGGGTTACATGTAGCATAAAGCTGAGCAGAGGTCTTGTACGGGGGATTCTACGGTTCGTATCAGGTGGTTTATGAGCCGTTTGCCAAGGAAAGCAAGAGAAGATGTAAATTCCATCTTGCGACAGAAATCTTTGGGAAATTGAATCAGATTTGACTAGCACCATTTATGGTTTCCTTCTAGACAGGTAAGGAACCAGGTGCGTTTTTGAGGGACTAAGCAAAGCTAATGGAGTGATGAAACTTACGAGTTGTATAAGTAACAAAATATAACATTATCGCATCTCTCTCCTCCACGACCAGTCATAACCATTACAATGTCCTCAAATGTTTATGGTACTTTAGCTGCTTTATTTTAGCACTAATTAATCTGTAGAGTTGTAATTGGACAGTGCAATCGGACAGTCAACTGTAATTGGACACCTTTAATCGGACAGTTAAAGCAGCTAATCACATTAAGTCCACTCATCTAAATCCCCCAAACACAGAGTTGATTATAATAACCGTCGCAACAACCATTTACTCTACTAAACAGTGTCTCTAACAAAGATATTTTCTCAAGTAAATGTACATGTATTTGTGTTTTTGCTAATTCTGTGGGATTTCGTGAAAAGATCAGTTTCCTATCAAATAATTGACTAATGGGAAAATTGATCAACGAACCTGTTTCTGTCAGAAATTTGTCTCGATAAACTCAAGAGGAGAGCTCATTTAAACAAATTGAGATTATTGCCCAATTAAACCTAGATAATAATAATACATTTAAAAGGTGTCGGAAGGCCGTTGATGTCTCACTAAAGGAGAGAGATATCTCAACAAATCAACCTCTCACTTCCTAAAGTTCGGAAACCCCTCCGGAGATTACTGATTATTCACCCGATGGAATGATGAACTTTGTGCTTCAACAACATTAGTGAAAGTAGCTTTAACAACACGAAAAAGATACAGCGGAATCTGTTTTGTTTACTGACATCTGGTAAGTGATAATTCATTGTTTCATGTAACCTTACACTGATTACATGTAGATAATTTGAATAGCAGGCGATAAGAGGATTTGGCCCTCGGGAAAGTCAATGCGGATTTTCTAAAGTGCAACAAAGACACGTAAACCTTGGAGTACTAAGACGTGCTATTTGTCTTAGGCTCACTGTCAGTGTTAAATAAAGCAACCAGAGTAACAGATCACACCTTCTCTGTTACCGGTCACATACACACAAATAACCTGAAAAGGTTATTAAATTAGGTTTTTACTGGTCTTCATTTCGGAGCTCTTTTTGTTGGAATGGCTTTGAAAGAGCTACTAGCGTAGACATCATTCAGATTTTACCCATTTCACCCAACACGCTTTCCTATAAGATTCACCTGCTAAGGTGTGACTAAATCAAAATAAGGAATACTAAACTCCTACAATTTAAACTACTTTATTAAACAACGTGTAATGATTTTTTCTCAGGAGCTACTCATATAGGCAATACAATAATCGTCTTCAAAAACTTACTTAAGCCCACTACAGACTAAAACTTACCTCTCTACCGACACCAAAGACTTGCTATTGCCTCAAATCTCCACAAAATACACAATCTTTTATATCACAGTACTGAGTAGTGAGCTATCTTTTGGTAGAGCTTCCTAGATATTCGGTCTTTTCTGACCAAAGAAATTAGTACTCCAAGCTGACTAAGTCCTTATATACCGTCATAACGTACTTCAAAACATTCCAGAATTCGAAGCTTACAACACAACTGTTGTGGTAAAAATAGATCGTAACCACATAACCCATTAGAATGTTCAAGTTTTCCGTGATATGTCACCAGAAAGTTTGAGTATAGATGTCATAGTGACTAAAAATTCTAGATTTTTTTATTTCTCTATCCACAACCCACCACAATTTAAAGATCCTTGTAAATCATGATGCTAATGAAAGCACGACTGAACATAGTAAACAACTTGCGTACAGTCACGGACCGCCGTGACCCACCGTGGAAGGCTTTCAGACAGAATAACAACTTCATGTACAGAAGGCGTGGGTATCAAAAGCTGCTTTAGTTTCTAACGACCTGAGTAAACATCAAGAGTTCAAAACGTTTAGTAATAAGCAAAATTCAATGCTCAAAGTTTTGCTTAAAACTTACTGAAGATGTTTGATTAGAATAGATAGAGATGATGATAAGATTATTTGGAAGCTCATTAATGCCCATAGTTGTTGACACTAGCTGAGGGTGGGGGGAGTCTTTTCAAATGCTCGGATAAACAACAAATGTTCAGTCGACTCTGATGATGATTTCCGCTGAGGTTATAGAAACGTAAATCAGTAACACTGACAACCTTCAGTCACAATTTCCCAGGAGAACTCTTACTTGGAAGATCAAACTACGCGGTCCAAAGGTACTCTTCTGTTCAAACTATTCACTGTTTAACACTAATCATAAAAAGTGGATCATGTGAAATTCTTAAAGTCCCTGTTATACATTAATGTGCATGTGCCAATAATTAAATTGATTTTTTAATTCTTTTGTTGGGCAGAATGACTTGCTTATAGCACTCAGTCTGTGCCACAGTAGCGCAGATCACAACCAGGTACCTTTTGTAGTTTGTAAATAAAGTAGGATCCGCAGTCTTTCACTTTTATGTCCCTTGATTTCTTGCAACAATCTCCACCTCTGGTAAAGCAGACCTTGGAGGAAACCTCACCATCTGCCAATGTAGGGTGACCACCTTTTAGCCAGCCTGAGAAGCGCGTACCACATCTATAATCCGGTACGCACTGGGTTGGCATTTTTGTTCCTGCATCTCCCACGAAACAATACCAATTCCCGAATATTATGGATGAGGATTCGTCGTCACATTTTTCTCCACCGTAGGGTGTGATGTAAGTGCTCTTTCTGTCAGCATCGCTCAGGTTTCTGTAATTATAGCACGGATCGGCTAAAAAGTTGAATTTCGGTTAATGCGATGTTTTATATATTTCGTTATAAGAAAGCTTAAGGAGAAAAGCTATTATATAAACGGCGGTGGTTTAAAACGATTTCCTGCCCTGAGAAGAGCCGGGAATCCATGTTAAACACGCGTATAATATTACGATAATTTTTTACATGTGTTTGATATCACCAATCAGCTGTGTCAGGTTAATAAATGAATGGCAAAGCGATGACCGTTCTCAATCCAGGGTGGCATGTCGAGATTTTCTCGAATTATGGCTGCTAAAAAAAGAGAAAAATTCGTATTTCTAACCAACGATGTCACTCAAAATTTCCTAAAAAGGGGAAGTAAAACAAAATACGAAAAGAAATACTGAAAGTTAGGTCTTTGACTTGGGTAATGGTATTTCTCGTGGCTGAGAACGAAAATTGAAAACTGGAAGATCTGCCACCGGCCGATTTCGGTCGTGTGTATGAAAATATTTCTTTGGTTGGTAAGGAAAAAGTCATGATCAATAACTGAGAATTTTGTGAAAAGAAAGCTACGCCCATTGTCTGTTTCTGTAATGGTTCAACGCTTTTTTTCGTCTTGTGCTTTATCGCCGACGCGCCATACGACTTTTTTTTGCAGATGGTGAAACCTATAATTTCATTTTTTAAAAAGTCGACTTTTCTTCCCAGTAAAGGCCTATTGTATTTACGTGATAAAAAAATAATAACTGGTCGCTTGCAGATATGGAACTTCTCTTCTCGTGTTCAACTCGATACAGAGAGATTATAACAGTTTATCTTCTCTCGCTCGATACCTTACTCGTTCGCTGCTCTCGCTCATGAGATAACAAGTTGAACATTACAAGGGAAATTCTATATCAAAGCACACCCAAGTATCATCTTCTATTTATGGAATAAGTACAAAATAGCCGAGTTTGTCATACAGCCTCAATACAGAATACCTTAAAAGTTACCATATTCAACGAATTTCAATGCGCGACTGTGGCGCGATCGCTCAGTGATCGCTTTTCATATAGACCGGCAATAATCGACTGCTGATCACAAAAAAGGTTGTTGATGAATGTGAAGCCATCAAACTTGTTCATAAGTGCTCCCGTAAATTGCATATCTGAGCAGATATGCATGGACAACTTCGTTGAGAGCCGATTACTGCTGAAGCAATAGAAAACCTTTTTTCCGTGTTTACCTACTCTCATCTAAACACGAGGTGAGGTTGGGAGAATTTGAGAAAATTACGCGAACCCGATACGCAGTCAGGGGTTTGCATAACTTTCAAGAAATTTCCTAGCCTCGAGTGTTTAAATGAGAAAATGTAAACACGGGAAAAAGTGCCCTGTATTTTATAAGCAAAATTCTCCAATAACGTTACAAAAGAAAGTAAATGTTGTTTGCTTATAGCATGACTGATATATATTTTCTCAACACATGCTCTGGACGATAGTGTTTCCAAATAGCCAATCAAATTGTGCATCTGACAAAAATTCGCGTTGCAAAAAGTGAAGTTGAAACATGTAGCAAGTGCCAGCACCGTGTAAGTGGAACTATTCAGCTTTGAATTATCGTAAATTAGACAGAAAATACCGAAAGTGTTTGAAATATACGACTCCTTAAGGAAAGAACTTCAAGAGGAGGAGTTTGATTCAATTGAAAATGAGCGTTACCGTAATTTATCGTTTCTTTAAATTGACGAAACCTTGCCCGATTTAACAGCCCAAATCACTCATCGCGCCTTGTAAAGTTTTCGGTTAGTGCAGTTTTCTCGATCCTTTTCCAGTGATTGACAAAATCTTCTTCCTTCGGTTTAAGCCACTCTTAGTATTGCATTAAGTGTTGTTGGATTTCTGTCTGCAAAAGTCTTCAATTTCGACTTCATACTATGCTCGTAGCTTCGTCGGCTAAACTCAAATTTGTCTCCGTTTTCCTTATTTGGACAAATATTCTTCCATTAATTACTATTTGAATAAACAAAACAAACTGAATCTTGCTATCAGTCCAAAGGTGATTCCTCAGTATTGCACTGGGCATCCTGTACTGCGCATAAAAATCACGTATCAGGCAAGTAAGGGCACGCATTCCGAGAACACGGTATTGGTTTTCAATAAATGGACCATTTTCATTAAATAATTTTTGTGTACAAATTTTCCCCTTTAACTCGGAGAAATTAAGAAAATTATCGAAGGTAAAAAAAAAAGACGGTAAAAGCGTGCGCAAAGCCCGTTACTTGATGATGAAAATTATTACCTTGAAAACAACGACGTGAGGAACGTTTTGAGTCATAATAATTACTAATATATATAAATAATTTCCACAAATTACATATCAAATTTCCCCCACGCTCGAGACTTTGTATCTTTTACGTTTTTTCTTTTAATTTTACTTCGAAAACCCTTGATTCCAGCTACCGAAAAATGTACCTTGAAATGACGCGCGTGAATAATTGCTAGTTGAGGCATAAATGAGGTAAATTTTGCCCGTTATTTCTCTCAAACAAGCAAGGTGACCTTCCTTTAATTTCTTATTGCATTTTTCGAAACAGCCATTGGTAGGAAACATATAAAGGCAGACTAAAATAATTGTCAGATGACTTTTTTGTTGTTGTTGAGGAATCACCTTATTAGGTCAGCGTGAGAAAATCGTAATTGCGATCAACATCAGACTATTCTGTTTAATTGAGACATAATCAATATAATTCAATTTTCAAAACAGTTATGCATCATCGAGAAAAAACTATTTTCTCTCCCGGTGGACAAAAACAATGCGCATCAAGTCCACAAATATAATGTCAAAAAATCAAATCTATCTTTCCTTATCCCCAATGTTTTGTCGGAGGACGTTTCCAAGTAAACTAAAGGCACTTAAAACTAACGTGATTTGTTACATGGCCAAGCAAGAATAGCCATTGACTCAAAATTATTTACAGCGAGTTCAGCGGGTACCCTCTCTAAAAATTATATAAGGCATGGATTAGGAAAGACTCACCTTTACAAGTCAGACCGTCCCCAATGTATTTAGGATTACAGGCGCAACTGTAGGAGCCCTGGGTATTACTGCAGGAGGCGTGCTCATTGCAGATGTTCATTTGTGAACACTCGTCAATGTCTGATGGGGATCAAGTGCACCACGTCACAACCCAGAGTTGATGCTATGATGAAAAATGTTTTGGTGAATCAAGATATAATGAATACCTATCCAAAATACTGCAAATCTAATCTCAAAGGATATGGGACAAAACAAAACAATCCACAATTTTCAATGAGGGATGAATTTTAGGATAAATGACTGACTACTTCCGGCTTTATAAATTTAAGCTAAAAAGACGTTTCAGATTACCTCCCGCTTTGAGTAGCTGGGATTGTGTGCAGCAATAGAGGTTGCCTCTGTTGAAGTCCTAAATGTAATAACTTTCCTAAATGTAATAAAGTCCTAAATGTAATAACATTTGGTCCTAAATGTAATAAAGTCCTAAATGTAATAACATTTAGTCCTAAATGTAATAAGCCTCCAATGCAATCGTTTAACTCCTTCAGTGCATTGTTGTTATGGCGGACATCCACAATGAGATGTAAAAGTGACAGCTGTTGCACCAAAAAACCGCTGACCAGTATACATGTCACATTACGGGCTCGCTGATATAAATCAGCGTCTTTCTACTTCCTAGACATAAGAAATATCAGCAGTCGAAGTATGGTCCTTAAAGTGGTCTATTGATCGAGTTAAAGAAAATCATTTCCAGCCCAAAGTGGGCTAGTGCTTGGCTGGAAGCTCAATAAGATGAAATCGATTGGTACGTAATCATTAAGACTTTTTTTGACAAGAAATTGACTACAATTGATGATGAACTAGCATGCTATTGTTGATGTTATCGTTCGTGTTAAAGTCTCTAGTAGTGATGCAACATTTTAGAGCAGTTTGAATGATTTCGCTGTGTCACATGTTAATCCAAAAGAAAATTATTATTATCAGTTGTGTTACTGAAATTTTACACATCAATGTTATTTAGTGTCAATTGATTTTAATGAAGCATTTGGGTTCATTTTTAAGACTGACTTTCCTGATTTATTCAATTTTGAACCTGGGATGTTGCATTCCTAGCCCTCTATGGCTTTACTCCACCTCAGTAATCAGTTCATGTACCATATGACTAAATGGAAACTGTTGAGCTTTCTTCTTCATCATCTACTTATCTATTCATTTTCTCCCCTCAAGGCGGGGAGAAGGGATGACGACAAAAAAATGGAATATAAACTTGAGATCAAATATATGTTTTCCCAATAATTCGGTTCGGGAACTGATGAACCTGTGATAAAGGGCTAAAGGGAAAAACAGGAATGGTTCATTAGACCATCAACTGACCATCTTGTGTTGAATGTTGTAGCTCAATGGTTCAATTTCACTCTTGCGTGGAAAAAAGGCAACATGTCGAGACCTTTGATCGTGAAATGGGATAACATATGATTGGTCAGTAGACATCTTGCTCTGTAAGTCACTTTATCATAAAGCTAGTAGCGCACGCGGGCAAGATGAAGTGAATCCTGTGTTCTGATTGGCTACTTGAGCGGGCATGATGGGCCCACCCTCGCCCGCTCGGGATTCCCCGTATTGATCCCACGCAAGAAAACTTACAAAGTTCGTAACTTTTGGACAATGTTGGCATAAACATAGAAAAAAATAAAGGACCTTCTTGGGTTTATTGTGCTGCAAGCACAGTTGGCTTACACTATCGGCTCTCGAAATAAACAGGCCATTCTTGATTCTTATCAAAGCGAAATATTTTGCTATACAATGAATCCTTTAATGATTAAGCCGAGAGAATATAAACTCTTTTGACCAAGCTTGTATGGTCAAGATTTCTGGGTATTAGTCTCGTTCTTTTTCTTCTTTTTTATGGACGGAGACTTCGTCTCCGTCCAATGAAAACGCAACAAAAAAGAACTCGGCCAACATCCAGCTATTTTGACCTCACGCTTGATCAATAACGCATATGAATATATTTTATGCAGACCCATACAATTCTGGCAAGGGAAGACAGTGCAAAAAATGCACTTCCGAGCCCGGAATTTGTCTAACGTATAAGTCGGTGGACTTCCTTTTCCTTGTAATTCGGTTCATGAAATGTTAACTTCAGCCATAGTTAGTAGAGGAGACTTTCTCCTCTACTAACTATGCTTCAGCACTGATGACAGAAGTATATCGTCAAAATCTGTTACACTTAAGAGTCTGAGCCAATGATATAAAGAGAGCTATTGGTCGGCGCTCTCATTGCTTTTGCGTCCGTCAATTTGCTGCCAAAAGCACATCAGTATCAGTATAAGGTTTTGTAGCCAGGGCTTTTCAATCTACGTCTTTAGCAAATAAAAAGACGCTGATTAATATCAGTGAGCCCGCAATATGCCATGAATACTGGTCAGAGGATTCTTTGATGCAACAGCTGTCACTTTCACATCTCAACGTTAGCGCAGTTAAACGATTGCATAGGAGCCTTATTACATTTAGGACCGAACGTTATTACATTTAGGGCTTTATTACATTTAGGACCAAATGTTATTACATTTAGGACTTTATTACATTTAGGACAGTTATTACATTTAGGACTTCTACAGCCTCTCTTCGGTAATAAAGGACTTTTCTGGACAATGAAGAAAAGTTATCAAAATCACTTGAGCAAGTTTGTCCATCTCCATAGACATGCATGGATAACGCTGCTCAAAATTATGAGACGATTAACAAAAATTCGTCATATAAGGAAATATCAATAAGATCATCCTCAAAATTACCTGAACATGTGCGTCCATCGCCGGTGTATCCCACTTTACATGTGCATTTGTAAGAACCATACGTGTTAGTACAGTTTGCATTCACGTTGCAGTCACTGATGTTCAATTTACATTCATCCATATCTAAAATGTTGAAAGAGAAGCAGTGACTAAGTTAGAGCAACTTGAGAGAGGCATCCATGCTAGAACTGATCCAAACTAAATATTACGATAATGATATCAATAATAGTATAATTTACATTAATTTCTTAATACTGATAACTCATTACAAAATAAAATAACTGAAGCAAAGTTATAGGACCTACCTTCGTTAACCATATCACAGTAAATCAGTTTTGCTTTTCCTTTCCTAGTTGGATTCAGTCAGTACTTGCCGCTTATGGTGTGTTTACCTTCACTCGCCTTTATTTCCTGACAAGACAGCGCCGGTAATTCAGGGATAGAACCTAAGGGAGCTGAATTAAAGATATATTTTACATTCACTTCCTATTCTTAGCTCTTCCTGGTGAGAAAGAGCCAGGTTGAGGATGGAGAAGATTTAAGAGAAATAGAAATCACACTGATGGAAAGACTTTTGATTTGTTACCTCTGCCGTTCGATCGCCGCATGTAAAACCACGCGGGTGCTGAGAGGAAATTCTCTGGTCTCGCCTCCTTGGTGCGGTTATTAAGTTCACACATTTGGTATTTTCGATTGAAGTTATAGCTTTGGCACTTAATCTCTTGTCTACATTTGACATCGCAAAGGTGAGGAGCCGCCAGTGAACATCTTTTGAAGACAGAACTCTCGAGAGCCATTCCTTGTATGTTTACTTCGGTCCGACATTGATCATCAGCTGTGACAAACTTTATGGTAGAAACGAAAAGGATGAATCTTAAATGGCCGAACAGCCACCACATACTTCTTTGCTTGTGCTGAATCTGAAAATATTGAGAAAAGGATCATAGAGAGAAAAAAGCCGAGTTTTCTCTCAACAAAACTTGTTTGGTACCAGGTGAAGCCATAAAGCAATAATACTAAACACACATTAAAACCTTGTCTGAAAATTCTTTTAAGCACTTTCTACTTTCTACTACTACTATGGTAATTAGAAGTCAAGGAGAATCAGCTCAACTCTTTATATTAAGCTTTAATTCGAACGCTCCTTCAGTTTTTGTGAATGATAACTTTGATCTGCTTAAGGCATTTTGAAATTTCCTCCTTATACGCCTGATCACTTTAGGCCCCCATAGAAGAACGAATGTACAAGCATTAGAAATCTCCATTTCAAAATTTTGGTTCCAAATGTGAAGTAACAACGATTCGACCTCGACAAAAAGTTCAGAAGAAGTAACATAATCTTATTGAGCGAGAAAAAAATACAATCTCTAACAAGCACGCTAATCAAGATTTACAAGCTGCTGATTACCCTCATTTTTTATGAAAAAAAAATCCCGAAGATTGTTTAAACCCTGTATTTATCTACGAAGTTGAGTAACCAAAAGGATAAGAAAGATTCAAACATAAATATTCAAAACTATATCCAATGAATAATCCTTTCTACGTTGTTACTAACACATTCAACATTTTGGACGGGGTTGAAACTTTAGCGACCTTTTGGTAATTTTTGAGGTAAACAGAGCAACACATTGTTTACCAGAGCTTTCGGGTTGCATAGAAATAATCATGTTAAGGTTTAGTTAGTAAACCTCGAGTATTGATAATCTGCTTTCGTTGAAAAGAACTTGGGTTAGTTTGCTTTTAAAATTTCAACATACCCTTATTTGAGAGTGAAGCCAACCTTTTTCTTTTGGAATGCAGAATTAAAGCAGCCGCAGATAAATATCCTTTTCGTTAAGAATATGAATTTTCCTGGGAAAGTTTTACTCAAATCATCCATCAGTGTTTTCGATATGATCAACTTTTACCTCTCAAGATACAAAGCTCTTGGGTCCCTCCCTGTTTTTGAGGTAATAGTTCCTTCTCTTATAACAATATGGTAGCTATTGTTACGATAGAAACACCTGGTTTCAAGCCAAAACGATTATTAACTTTAGATGAGAAATTTCTTGTTCCCTCTTCATTGTCACTGAACCCTTACAAGGATCAAATATTTATTTTAGGAAAAACTACGCAATTGCGATTAAGATCTCAAATTTTGCAATAAGCGTAATTTTCAGCTGGTAACGTTGCCAAACTATCATTATGAAACATCATCTTCGATCTAAAGTTGCTTTTAAACGTTGTTTAAGAAAATTTCCTTCAAGTTCTCAAATAATCCGGTTTGTATCTATGGAAACTAATAAGAAAAGAATGTCTCCGTCTCTAGCCTCAAGAAACGTCAAGCCTTCCATCGAATAAGCTATACACAAAGCTATAAACATACAATAAACTCTTGTTTGTATCAATCAGAAGGGTCCCTCTTACATTGTATGTAGCTTCATTAAGATAATTGGGGGCAGAGTATATTTGTGCGGACAGGGAAAAGTGCATTTTTTTTCCTTTTTGCCTTAAGAAATGTTGCACTTGTTTGTGGTTTGAAAGTTAGTTCTCTAATTAAGAAAGGAATTTCATCAACCCGTGGCGTAATTTGAGTTTTAAAACTTGCTCTGGCCTCGAGGAAGTCTTCCAGCAAATACTGACGATTCGTGTTGGAATTTATCTATCAAAGCTTCCTCGGCTCCATCCTGCGCGAAAGCTGCAATGACCATAATTCACGGATGTCAAGCACACGCAATACAAACGATTCGCTCGAACCTCAATGGCTTCAGAGCTACAATAGAAATTCAAGTTGACTGCGAGGACAAAGAGATTAAACAATCTAAACTTGCAATGATATGCTAAATACTTAAAATTTATCGCTAAATTATTTTTTAGCTTGACAGTTTAAATGAATTGTCAACAATGTAATTCAAATGAATTAATGCCGCTGCAAATATGACTTTCACAGGATGAAATGACTAAATTAAGTTTCCTTAAAGGTAACTTAAAGGTTAACATTAGAAGTATTTAAGACATCTTTAGGTGACATACGAAAGTTCTGAAATGAATCTTTAATTGAACTTTCAGAAGTCAATTAAAGTCTCCTTATGAACCATTTCATGAACACTTTAGGATCACATGAAAGTAAACCTAAATAACCTCTTAATTGACTTTAAGAATCCTCCTAATTCTCGTAAACTCGTCTTTAATTGCCAAAACTTCTACTTCTAAAGGCAACTTAAAGGTTTCTTTAATCTTTTGTTTCCCTTTAAGTACTACTTAAAGTTGCAGGTTTTGTTGTAATTCATCTTTAGTTGTAGTTGTCACTAGGAACCTCGACTGATTTTATCCTTTCCTCGATTTCGTTCAGTTGGCCGGGCGAAAAAAGTTTTGAGTCTGTCCATAGTTTGAACATTCTTTTGGCAGTTCCGAGAAAGAGATTGTGCATAGGATCAACCGTGCAAAATCTAATAACATCAAAGTAATCGAGTCTCAGTAAAATGCTATAGTGGGTGATACCACTTTGTTGCCCCAGCAAATTTTTTCGGGCTTTCGTTTTGCACTGAGTAATTTTAATGGCCATTCGACGATGTTCTTCATTTGTGCGGGGTTTCCATGAGCTTCTGTTGAATCCAGAGGAATCCCTCTTTTCCCCAAAACCACCTAAAAACTTCTTTAAGCAGCGTGAACACCCAAGTTGAGCTGAATACCCGTTGAATCCGCAGATCTTTTTCGTTGCCGGGACGTCAGAAGATACACTCAAAACAGCAGCACGAAACGTTAGGGCAAATCTACTCAGACTAGCTTTGATCTTGACCCCTTTACAAAAAATAATTAAGGCTTTCAACTCATCCACAGATGGCTCAAGAAATTCATTTAGATCTTTGGGTTCTCTGCCCAATGAAGGAACAACGCCTACAATAATGATATTCTCCCATTTGAACCGTTCAGACCTGGGCAGATTTAAAATTGCTAAGTAAAACACTCCAACGGAATAATCCTTACGGTGTTTCATCGGCTGGAAAAAGTCAAAGTTCAACATAAACCCATAATTTCGTGGGTTACTCAAGAAAGGTGAATCACTGACGTTCTGGAATTCTTTCCATAGATTTCCATCGTAAACATCAGCCAAGGTAATTTCCCCCACTTCTCGTTTTCTCCACAATTCACAATTTATGGGAAAGTCTTTTCTCAAGACCAACTTCTCCAGTTGGTCTATGATGCTGTTGCTGCAGTAGTACTTGATAGGGTAGAAGCAAGTTTTTCCATTTTGAAGAGTAACCTTTGTCACGAGTGTGGCATCGCAAGTTAGTTTTCTTCCTCTGGAGTAATGAGTGTTGCTACATTTTTTTGCCACTTGTCGATTGTTTATCATCGAAATACAGGAGTCGTACTTATACAGTTTTGTACACTTTGGACAAACCACAAACTTATTGAAATCGTCTCTATCAATATTTAGGAATTGCCTCACAAGGTACAAGGATCCCGGAAAGCTCATCGCTAATTTTTCAAAAACCTCATTGGAAATTTCTACGCCAAGAACCCTGAGCCACGAGACAAGGAAATTGAGCAACCAAGCGAGACCATTATCGCTGAGGTGGCAAGTCGCCTGCCAGATTAGCAGAAAGTAAGCGAACCAGAAAATCAATGAATTTACTTTTTGAAGTGCTGTTTGGCAGCCTTGAACTTCCGGAAGGGGCGGGGCGTTTTCTATATCTCTAGATATCATCTCAGGCAGCACACCATTCCAGATTTCTTCGTCACCGTCAGAGCTCGAACTGCAACAGTCGCTCTGGTTTTCATCATCGGTACTGTTTAGATCCCCATATTCGTTGTCGCTGGTAGAGTATGCTGCCTCGGATTTCGGCAAGTCCGTTGGCTATATAGAAGAAAGGAATTTCAGAACGGACAGTCTATGTTTCACCTCTCATAAAGTACTCTTAAGAGTTATGTTAATGAAAAAACAAACAAACGAATGAACGGCAGCATTAAAAAACAACCAAAGATCATTAGTAGATGACATAGCTTTCGCAAAAGTGTCGTGTTTGTTGACTACAAACTTTTACAATTTGCATGATAAAATAAAGTTAATGCACAAACTCCGCGTTCTTCCTTTCTCACCTGCTCAGCGTTTGACCATGAATTATCAACTTCTGCTTCGATTTTAAGACGCTCTTCCTGAACAAAATCTGTGGGTCCTGTAGGGATTTGGTGTAAAAGATAAAATTAGTTGGCAGTGGTCTATCGCCTCAAGCAACGCTGAATAGCAGTTACATTCTCAATATTTAAGGTAACTAACCTCCATCGTCAGATGAACTTGAAATTTCTTGAAACAAATCACGGGAATTTGAAGTCGACCCGAAAGTATCTGTCAAGTTCGACTTGTTACGTTTTCGCTCCTGCCTTTCGAAAGTTGAACTTGACACGAAGTCATTACAATGAGCGCAGTAAATATATCCTTTCTTGTCATCGCACTCCATGCGTTCTATAAAGGAGATGTGAAAATGAAAACCCGTTGCTTTCAATTCAGATATTGAAAAAGTTTTTTCATGCGTTAAATACAATCAATCAGATCCAACGTTCCTTGATGCCCAACTCTAGAGTTGTTGAGCCAAACGCGTTTTCTTTTATTACTGTCTGGTAGTTATGGCTACAATAGAAAATGTTGATTTCACACCAAGATGATCATTAATATTAGAAATAAACTTCCCTCTTACTGTTTGGGTTCTTTGCACAAAAAAGCAAAATTGGTAAATAATTCGCGGCGAAGAATTTAACCTAAAGCAACGGACTGACTGGAGTAATGCGTCATGGACTGTAAAATATTGTTATTAAGAACGAGTCTCTGTAAGAATCATACTTACAAACAAAAATTTGCCTAAAAAGTGTAAAATGTAAATCTCTCAATCTCACATCCGTTTAGACGATACAAGCTAATACTTACAGCACATATAGTGATATTGTTCATCTTTATTGTGGCGCACTCAATTTTTCATGAGAGTTAATGTAAATACAGGAATTGATGATTTATCAAGGTACACTTTCGGCCGTTTTAGCTGAAGAGTAAAACAACTAACATGTTTTTCTTAATTTCTCCAAAAGTACACCGATCCTGGAACTGAGACTAAAGTCCTAATTAGTAATAATGTTCTAGTTGCTAATTCTGTAAAAATCTCTGCGGGCCGGTTGCTACTTTTTACAAGGGCAGTTCACGAACTGACCTCAAAAATCTATTGTTGCATATTTTGGTAATGTTTACATTTTGAGTTTTCAGCGACAAATTTCACAGACAGACTTACTAGACATACGTTTAAAAGAAGTCTATCTCATGATCAATGTCTCACAGGAAACTATCGCTTCTAGCCGTTATTTTACATCAGTCAAAATAAAGCTTACCGTGAACTCTCAGTCTCATAATTAGGCTCAACGCATGGGTTCCTTTCAGCAAGGAATCATCCTTAAAATGAGTTTCAAAGGAAGTTGCATTTTCCTTTGGTTATTGATTCGCTCTAGCGTTCATCGTCAGAGGTTACTGACTTGCTAAAAATATCAAATTCAGCCGACAATTCCACCTAAAAGTGACAGCTACTTCAATGATGAGCCAGCAACCACGCATGAAATGTTTACTATCATTTCATGGTAGGATTAAAGCTTTGTTTCCCACCCCAGATATTATCTCGAAAGATACAAACTAAGTTCTGGTAAGTAACAGAACGAAAAAGCAAAAATCACCTTCTTTAAACGGGCGATTGACCCTGAAAACCACACACCCTAGACAAAAGTAGAAACCACGTTTGGTCAGCGGATTTGATTTAGAGAATATGTCTCTCACTACGGACACAATACTGTCTCTACATTTGTTTTCACCATTTGCCACTGTTTTTCTTAAAGCAAAATATTGCAGCTTTTATTCTTTTTTGCCTTAATGTATTTGATAAGACTGGCTTTAGTAACAGGCCTATATTACAATCGACACAACATATGCTCCACGCAGTCCATGTACACGACGGTAATGATACTTTTACTTTGAGTTGCATGCAGCTCTTACGTAGCCTTGCAGGTACAGCTGTTAACAAAAGAAACAACACAGTCAACATAAGGCGCCTTTCGCTGTCCTGAGACTTGCAAGTCGAATTCTTCAGAGATTGCCTTGAGCGTTGTCAAGCGTAGCATGGACAGTTCATCCTTCGACATCTCAGATCGACGCACAAAACAGACGTATATTACTGGATAAATTTTTCATTTTAGTAGCGAATCGTTTTTACAGAGAGTGGTTAAACTTGAAAGGGCATGGTTAACTTATCAAAAGCTGAAGTATTCTCGAACCCTACCTTAGCAGACTTGTAGTACTTTCTAACAAGGTATAAAGTATGTCGAAAGTCTTTTTTTCTTACAACACGGTAGAACTTCAAGTGCAAATGAAAGAGTCTTTTATTTGCAGCCACTCATGCATTTCTGCATGTGATCCCTAAGTAACAAGGAACAATACTCGTTCAGTAATTAGAGAGTCAGTATTATACTAGAACTGTAGAAAAAGCACGATGAAACAAGCGTTATTGGTCTTTTACACCTATGGTACTTTCAAACGGATAAGTGATATAAAAGAAGACGACATGAAAATCCTGCTTATGATGTGAATGTGCTTACCTTCGTGAAATTCCTCCCAAAGGAAGATATTTCCAGGATCAACTTGGTAGGCCTTGAAGGTGTTGAACCCGTGGCCATCGAAAACGAAATTGTTAAAGGAATTCACGCCATCCAGTTTGAATGTTCTCGTGTTTGCCCTGTCTACCTTGACGACTACGACGCGCACCCCAGGAATACCTCCTCGTGACTCGATGGCAATTTTAAACTCGCTTGGAGAGGTGACCGAATTTCCTTCATTAGCAAAACTTCTGACATGAGCTTTTACTTGTGCAGCCTTCCGATCACACGCACCTTTACCCCCCTGTGGATCGCTGAAATCGATTTGCTTCACCTGTATCTTGGAGCGTGAGGAAAGTACACGTGCAGAAAGAATTGTACAAGATGAGTGGTAACTCCGGCATTATCTTGCCTGAAATATGCTAAGGTATTTTCTGGATGCTGTAGTTTTAAGGAACGGAGCACGTGCTCCATGATCAAAACTACAGTTTCACTATCTTGCAGTCTTGACTCTAGAATATGAACAAATGTTTGTGCCTCGAGCCGTTTGTCGGTTTTCCTTAGGCATACTGAAATGTGCCACGAAATGCTCCGTTTTCCGAAGAAATCGCTTTGTGCTTCTCTATAGCGGGTTGGAATAAACTTCATTGCGAAGTCCTGGACAATCAGCACAGAAGAAGAGCTTATACGCTGCAGGATATCCAAGCGACAAGTGTCTCGATGAGCACTTCGTAATTGATGTGCCTTCCATTCTGAAATGGCCTGCCTCGCATTTTGGACCATGAAGACTGTTTCATCTCTGTCTTCCTCATTTAAAAACTTCTTCTTATGTACCTCACAATTAATTTCGTCTAACACGTGCAAAAGAAGCCAGGACTTCAAAGCATTGAACGTTGGCAAACCGTAATCAGTACCTCTCGAACTTTGAAAATACTTGATCTGAGGTCATTACAGTTTCCCGTTCTCTTCCGCACCTATTCTCTTTACGCTATATCTTATATAGTTTCAGTAATGTCCATAAATAGTAGACAGTTGGCAATGAAAGTGGATTATAAAAGATACATAAAGACACACCTGACAGAGACTCGAGCATCGGTCACAGGCCACCTTATGTTCGTGATTGCATGGCGTTTGGTAAAAGCTGTTTGCGGGATCACTCAAAGCGAATGCTCTGCAATGATCCGGAACCGTAGACTCAAGAGCAACATGAACCTAGAGTATTGAAGACGAATGAAAACAACGGACCAGCTAAAGTCGTTAAAAAACTGCAAAGTTATTAAGATTATGAAAACATTCTATCGAATTTTGAAAACAAAGTAATCATTGAAAATCAAATATAATTGACGAGTGGAAAGCACCTTATAATCTCCTTTTAGGTACTGTTTACCACTTTTTAGGGATTCTTTGAGGCGATCTGCGACATCCCTTTCAAGTTCAATTTCTGAAAGCTTGTCCACAATACTTGACAACTCATCAAAAGCTCTTGCTCCTTCAGCTAAGTAATTATCTAGGCCTTGCATACATCGTCTGACTGAGGCACTGCAACTTTCAGACAAAATTTTCATCGGAGTGCTCCTTGGCAGCGGGTTTGTAAACCCTGTTTCTTGACAATATTGGTAATATTGGTTTACCAGGCGTGTAGGGATGAGAAGCCGAATAACATTTGAAAAATCCAGAATTTCACCGTTAGACAATTTCAACTTTCTTCTTCCAAACGGCAGGTCTTGATTAATTTGCTGACTTGTGATAAAATCAATGAAATGTTCGACTCTTGCCGGATCCACCCTTACTCGGAGTTCTTGGGACTTTTGAGACAATGAGGCTAGCGCTCCTATTCCATGCTGTAGACAGTGACGGCAGGCAGTAGTGAATCGATATCTTGTTAAACCTGGAATAAGTTTCTCAAGATCTGTGAAGGATAGCTTGTCTGCTATAACGCTCAGAATTTGCTGACTAGCACTGTGATGCGTGGCTTTTTTGTAGCTTGTTTGTAATCTCCCTTGATTCTTTTATAGCTCTCCATAGCAATCCGGCATCATCAGGAGCCACGACTTCAAGGAGTGAGTTGATGACTTCGCTCATCTTTGAGGTGTAAAAGCGCTTTATTTTCTCCAAAGCATCTGTCCACGGGACCTGCAATACATGTGTCAGAGGCTTGTGACCTTCTAAGATAAGAAGTTTGCTAATTGCATCTAATTTCTCAGAATGTACATCCATCTTATCACCACATTCGTCACTGTCATCACTCTCACTGTTCTCCACTTGCCACGAAACATCCACTCCTTTCGGCGTCATAATTGAATCATTCTTAGCTCCTTTTAAAAGCTTTTTTTGGCATGTCACTTTGCCAGGGCGGGTCGCTGCTTTGCTATTATCCTATACAAAAATGAAAAAAGTTCAATAACAAATAATTTGATTATTTTTTTAATATGTCGAATCTATCTTCACAATTCATCATCTACAAGGCTCTCACGCTCATTCACAAAATCGCTTCTTCATCACCAAAGCCATCCTGTTCGATCAGCCTTCAAGAATATTAGTAATAGATAGGATGAAAGAAACATTAGTTAAATAAGTGGAATATAACAGCCTTACTGGAAACGACTACAGGACAGGGGATACATTCTTACCTCCTCTTCATCTGCTTGTGTCTGGTTACTCGGCGACTCCCTGTACGCTCGACATAAAGCTGATAATTAAAAAAGGATTTTTATCAAAAAGACAAATAAAAATCAGCTTGAAATAGGGAAACAGCTGTTTAAATAAATTTGACGAAACTCGAGTTAAGCTTACTGAGTGTCTGTTTTTCTTCCTTACCAGATCCAATGAGCACAATCTTCTCAATTCGTTTCTTGATCGAAAGAGAATGTCCTTTCAAAACAGAGCAATCTCCTTTTCTCTTAGCACTTTTGTGAGTCGAAATCTCAGGAGGCACCCGACAGGTCCTTCGTCGGCCCCTCTAATATATTCCTAACTGATCGCGATGATGGCTGCATATCTTAAATTTGTTGGCCTCTACTCGTACGACATCGAAAAATCCTATACGGTAAAATTTGTTAGCCCTAACAAAATGTATTATTATTGTTATTATCATTATTATTATTATTCAAAACATGAAGGTAGAATCAAAAGAGTTTGCCTTTTATTTGAGTTATTTTATTTTTGAAGTTGTTGAAAATAATCGTGATAAAATCCCTGTTCCGTTTAATCCAGCAGTCCAGATTCTAATATTGCGATGCAAATTTCGTTCGATTACGCGCGTGGACACTTCAATATTTTGTTAGTTTTCGCTTCACACTTTTTATTTTTCCTTCCAAAAGACAAAGGAGGAAATATTGATTTGACCCACCTGCTCTACAAAGTATCAAGTCCACCTCGTTATCGATGTCCCTTTGAGATTTGCTCAGTCCATATGTCCTGAGATGGTTCGTGATATCTCGATTGCAGTTGCCAAGAAATAATAACTGCTCTGAGCAGGTTTGCAAAGGAGATGCAAAGTAACATATCTCCATTGTTGAAACTGTTTTTGTTTAACCTGCAGTGGTACCGCTGACAGGTTGCAGATGTATGCTATCCAGATTGTTAATGAACGTTTCACAGTGGATACACAGGAAAAAAATAGAGATACCAAACTGGAAAATCATTGTTAAATAGCTAATTTAAGATACCATTATTGGAATATTATTGGCAAATATTGATGATACCAATATAAATCCAACATTGGTAAACTTGGGAAACACATACTAAATGATCATTGGAGTTTTCTTGGAAATTTGTAGGTAAATTGATATGTTTAAAATCCAATCTGGGAATAAAATTGGTATGTTTGATTTTCCAATGATGTCCTTAACAATGATAATCCAAAAATGGGAAATTAATTACTATAACAGCATACCAACATTGAAGGATTACAGGGAACATACTGTTATCGTTATAATATTATACTCCAGGCTTGGAATAACAATGGAATCTATAATTTTGTGATTAAAACCTTCCATTATTAGCCCAATTTTGGCAAACTAGTCAATTACAAGGTGTACCAACATGGGGATACTTAACGAAAATTACTGGTATATTAAGCATTTAATACTCCTAGCTTTGTGAATCCCTGGTGTAGTAATATCTGTTTTCTGAAAGATGCCATTGATACTGGTAAATAGTGGTAAATAGTCAAGGTTTTGTGATACCAACATAGGTGTATTTCAGGAAATTGACTGGATTGTTAATCAAGTAAACAATTATATTCCTAAGTTGGAGTAATAATGGAAGAATATATACTTCTAACTTTAACAATCCAATGATAACAATGATAACAAAATATGGAAATTTGTGATTTTCCAGGGAATTCACTGGTGGTTTCTTTTTTCAATTAATTCTGCAAACTTGGAATAAAACTGGTACATTGTCAATAAAAGTAAAGGTGTGGTAGATGTCCCAATGTTGGGAAAAAAAAGCAAGTTATTGTTTGTGAAATACCAGCATGAGAGTTATCTCTAGACCTTAATTGACTAATTAATGGAAATGCTCCAAGATATCACTGCTAGCTAACTTTGCAACCATCACATTGAAATAAATGATTAAATCATGGTGCATGAAGCAGGCCATTACATGCCAAACAGCATGTTCTTAGCAATAAATACCTTGAAATAAACCTGAATTAATAAATTACTCTTGCGCATACAAATTTAATGTTTAGAAGTGTTAATTCTTATTTCTGCTTTATACACAACTTATAATTATTGTAGTAACAACGAAGTAGGGTAGCATTTTGGGGCTTGGAAATAGACTTGTTTACTAAAGGTTTACACATGTATCAATAATATTTGTGCTTAAAGCTCAAATTCCTCCCAGCGAGTGTAACAAGTGGCCCATTCTCCCATTGAGTCAATTCCAAGAACACTATTCAGATGAACATCTTGGGCTGGTGAATTCTCTGGTATCCATATTGTGCCACTATGTTTTACAAAAAATTGAACAGCCACAGTTCTCCGCCTCATATTGAAGGCAAGGACAAGTGCCTTCCACAGTGAATCTTCATCATCACCTCTTACTTCAATCATATCATTTCGTACAGGATAATAAGGGACGACCACTGTGCCAGCACTGATTGGAAAAATTCTTCTCATGAAATCGTTTACCACATATATTGGCCCTCTAGCAGCCTCATCTGCATGAGGAATGAGCATAACTTTCCTTCTTACATTTTGAAGTGGTAAAACTATGTCAATGTCAGTTTCAGAAACAACCTTCATACCATTGTCACTTAACCCCTGTTCATCAAATTTCTTTGCTCTGAAAAAGTGTTGCCATTTGTTAACGACAAATGCACAGAAAAATTGAAAAGCTTAACAGTCACCTCTCCATCTTGAGCTATGACGATGGCATCTTCCTTTTCTCTAAAAAGTAAGCCATCATAGCCATGGGTTGGAAACCAAGCACTACGGCAACATATGCCATCTTCTTCAACACTTGCAATAGGTACAGAGTGTTCATTAGCAATGGCTTGCTGTATCATCCCACTCACCGGAAATAGGTTTGCGCCCCCAACAAGAATCCCTGTTACATCAGCTTGACAGTGAACCTGTTCGTTGGCAAAGTACATTTTCTTGGCCTGTTCAATAGATTTTGCCCATAATTTGTTTGGATCAGTTTTTGCTGGGTTTGGTACTTCTTCTCTGGGATCTTTTCTAAACTTAAGAACTTCACGCCGTTCTTCATTGGATGCAAAAGTACATTCGATGTTTTTGTGGTTATTGGGCTGACGTACGTATCTCCTAACTGCTCTCTCCTTGTTCCAGCAAGAGTAATTGTCTTGTCCACTGAAATTCACTGTATCTTCTTTAATATGAAGAAGATTATGAACAATCATTGTGTAAGCTGTTGGACCTTTTCGGTCTTCAAGTAAAATGGCATACCTTAATGCCATTTGCCGGAAAGTTTCGGCATCATTTTCTGTCCACCCATGCCTTGCATGGTTCTGGAGAAACTCCACCATTCGCGCAATGCATAGCCATTCTTCTTGTTGATCTTGTGAAAGAAGTCCGTTGAACACAATCTCAGATGCTGGAAAAGCAAACTTGTTCAAATCATCAGCTTTCCAGTAGCCAAGATGTTTCTCTATACCCCTTGGGATGCGTGAACTTTTGAATTCTGTGGTCCGTGGTAAATCATTTACGCGTTCATCTGCTTTAGCCCAGTCAATTGCATTGTCCTTATCTTCTTTCAACTTAAGAATAGCATTCTTGACAATGTTAGGATGAATCGTATGCATCTCATCAAAAACCAAGTCTCTATCATACAAAAAGCCATAAAGATTATGCAGTCTATGCAAGATTGACAGTCCAGTGTAGCCACTCTCTTTGGAGAGTCGCTGTCTTACACTGCTTCTTTCCTCTGTGGCTATTTCACTTAACAATTCCAAGTTGTCAAGGATACTTTTCTTTTCTGCAGGATAGCGTCCCTGTTTTCGGAAGTTGGGGTAATAGTGGAGTGTTTCTGCAACATACACACTTTCAGGTTTGCAACGCCGGCAACCTGATTTCCCCATCTTAGTAAATTTCCCAACTTTGCACAAGCCACAGTGATCCCCTGAAAAACACAAAATTAAATGTCTTATGGTTGTTCTTCCAGCAGGTTTACCACAAGTTGCTAGATTCTAATTTACTTGGATGCCATTGATGAAGCCGTCCTCTATATCCGCTATAAGTGGTTCCAAAAAAGGATCTAAGGAAATTGGTCTTTTCTTTGGAAGCATATGTGACGGTACAAATCCTACCACGTACACCTCTTCAGCTTTGCACCTTTCTACCTTTGACATTGTTGCTATAGTGATCTCAATTGCTCCACAACCACGGAGTGATGAACTAAATGGTTGCCATCCATCCCAATGTGCTGAAAAAAAAGAAAAGGTTTGTTTATTAGGCAAAAGGCATGGATAAGGGTAATTCTGAGTGGCTTATCGATCTCAAGCTTCAACTGTAAGCAATAAGACTGGTTTCTGTAATAACTTGGTCTACCCAGCTGTCTAAGAAATGTTAATGATCTAATAAGATGGGCCCAGGCCACCTGCGGCCACGCCCATCTCATGCTCTGCTTCAGGATTTTATTCCAGGGATGTTATTCAAGGCTACGTATTTTCATTCGCTCAGAACGGGTCATCTTTCATCAGCCACTTGAGTTTAGGTGATGACAGATGTTGCTCAGCAGTTTATATGAACATTCCCTGCTTAAAGGAAGGGCTGGAATGTTACGAATTTACATGTTGCACCCTACAGATATACAGTATTTTACAGTATATTTGCGATGGGCTGAATGAAGCACTGACCTAGAACTGATGCAGAATTTCAATTTCAAAGATGCCAATGTGACTTTTGAAATGAATGCAAATTTGTGGCTCATAAGGCAAATGACCCTGGAGATCGATTATGGGAGCCAGCGAGTAACTGGTACCTGTTCAAAAAGTATTACATTGTCCTATAGTGTGACAGTCACCACACTATAGGATAATGCAATACTTTTTGAACAATAGAAGTAGTGAAGTAATTATTATTTTTTTATATATTTTAACACTCCCATCTTTTATAAACCAAATTTATTAGCCTTGTTCAGTTCTAATCAGAATGTTCATTGAGTCCTTCAGTTCAGATATGGAAATAGTTTCAAGACCCGTCTATGAACCCACAGGGTTTCTTGATATTTAAGCTTTGTGTAAAAAATAAAAAGGCATATGAATAATAGGACTATATGTTTGTTAACTGATATTTTAAAATGTGCCCAGATATATCTATTATTTGTGTACGCTTAATGTCAGATTGCTTCTATGATACATGTAAATACTGGGGACATGTTGAAAAATTGAACAAAAAATGAGGAAATGGATCGTTAACAAACGAACATTGTACTAACCATCATATGCAATATTCCTTGGATCTCCTCTAGTTGTTTGGATCTTGTATATGAAAGTATGAAAACATTCATGGCACTCTATTTCACACTCATTAACACTACCAGCAAGTTTAGGTGAGCTTGTGATAACCTCAGCAGAAATAACAGTCTTGCAGTCAAGTTGTGGACATTTATCAGGGAGAATCCACTCTTCATCCTCATTCCAAAGTATGACAATTCAGCAAAACGCTTTCCATCCCAGAACTCCTTTTTGAGGCCCTGACCCCAGCCTATTTTTTATCAGGTGGCAACCAGTGGGCCCTTTGTTGCCAATGAGAAGTCATTTTCGTGCACATTGAAGAAGAGGAACACCACCTTTTAACCTTGCTTATGATGCTTAGGTAATAATAAGGTATGTTTCCATGTTTTCCACAATAAGAGCAACATTCTTCTTTATTTTGAAGCAAACCATACTGACAGGGGTGGCTTGAGTCTAAGCATACCCAGTACAGTTTTGGGGTGCTGTATCCAATGGTCTCAAGCAGAGAACATACTTCATCCCATTTGGAAGGCCAGATAGTGTTCGCCTCATCAACTCTATTGTTGTTTCTGGAATACAGTTTATTTCCCCAGTCTAAGAGGTCTTCAAAATTCTTATAGAGATTGCCATTTGATTTCGGCGAACTGACACTTGCATGCTAACAGCTGGAGACGTGTGTAAAACTCGGTAATGTTTTCACCAGACTTTTGCATTTCCTGACGAAAGGCATATATGTGATAATCCACACACTTTTGAGGCTCAAAATGATCAGCAAGAGCCTTTACGACAGTCTTGTATTCGTCACTTCCTTCCGGCGGTTCTGGAACGGTAAGGGTCTCAAACACATCACAGGTTTCTTCTCCTACGTAATGCAATAACATGGCTTTCTTTTGAGATGCTCGGGTAATGTTCATTGCTGTAAACATTTTGTCCAAACGCTTGACATACTTCTCAAAGCGAATGGGTACTGTATCTCTTGGTTGAAGATCAAGTTCAGGAAAGGTCGGTAGGTTAATTGCCATTGCAGAAGTTGTTACTGAAACGTCCTGTGCGTAACAAGCTACCACAGACCAACTACGTTGACCCTGTGTCGGAGATCGTCCGCGAACGCGATTTCTTGCAGAAATCCAAGTTCAAGGCTCATGCTGACAGCAAGGTTTATGTGAAACCCAGCACTATCTCACCTGGTGAAACCGTACAAATGAAGAGACCATTTACTGCGTCTAAAGGTGCAACTGTTTACGACCCTACCCCCTTGACTGTAGTGGATAAGAAAGGCAGCATGATCACAGCTCAAAACGAGAATCGCACAGTTACCAGAAATTCCTCTTTCTTTAAAACTCTGGACCAGTCAGTCATCAACCGTGGTGATGATCCGTCCCATGACAATGGTCTCAGCTCTCCAGCTGACATCAAGCACCAACAAGAGCTGCCTGCTGCACGTACACGTGCTCATGCGTCTGACCCGTCTGCATCAAAACCTATGAGCTCCCCTGGCGTGCAAGCTAATCCTACAAGTTCATTTAGCCCTATCCCAGAGGGCCAAGCTGGTGCATCTCACCCGGTTGGTCAACCACCATTGCGTAGATCTTCCAGGAAACGAGTTCCCCGCCAGATTCTTGATTTGTAAGCCTTATTGAACTGTGAACTCTGAACTGTGGCAGTATAGTTTGTTAAGTTAAAATGCTGTCGCCTGTACAAAAACGTTTGTTTTCGTTGGACTTTGATTCCAGTCAGTAGCCATAGTTTCATGGACACTGATTAGGTGAAGTTTACTTTATTTCTTTCCATATCACTCTAGAGAGTTACCCACTAGGGAGAAAGAGATGTAATGTTCATGTAAACCGGAAGTTATCGATACCGGATGTTCGCTAGGAACTATGGGATATATGTGGCAGAACTGTAACACGTCTTCTTACAACTGTTTATTAAATCGTTGTTAATCGTTTGCATCTTGTTTTGAAATCCATTCAAAACATCACAGTTACCAATGGTGGACCGCCAAGTGTTAAAAGATATTGGCATAACGAGTGTTGGGAGACAGCTGGAAATTATCCAAGCGTTTCAGGAAGTAATTCAACCAGCAAGTAAGCCTTGGTCTTGAGCAGTACGGTAAAATAACTGTGAGGATTTAACTTTTCTACCAGCGGGATATTTGGGAAGTTAATTGCATTTCTCCGAGAGCCAGAAATTGATCAAGTTAATTCAGTTACTTTGCAATAGTCCATTTTGGATTTCTTTGCTCCTTCTGGATAAAATAATGTAGTCCTGACAGTGCAAATTTTAAGAGCTAGCATCAAGACTAGCTGATACTTGCTCCATACCTGAGATCGGATTTGGACGAGGTAATAAAATTTATGTAGCTGATTCTCTGTGTGAGTAAATAATAGAAAAAAAAATAACAGCAAGTCAAGGAAGTTCTTAAAGGTCAAAATATAAACTGTATCTACACTTTGTAGCTCTTCTAAAGAACTTCTCATTATACAGTTTAGAAAATCAGAAAGACTTATATAGCTTTTAAATATGCGTATTCCTCAAGTCTTTAAACATCCTGATGATTTATTCCTTTCCTTTTTCTAGAAGCCATTCGGTCACATATCCTCCAGTGGTCTCAAGAAAAAAACCGCAGAATAGCTGATGGCTATGATTTTGAGGTATAGTGTATGCTCAAATAGCATTTTCTTCATATCATGTGTTAATATGCCTGTGAACAGGCTTCCTCTTATGAGGAGTACATCTAGTGAAGAAAGAAAATCAAATGAGTAGTGTCTTTAACTTGAGCCCCATTTATACTTCCTTCTCATATCCCCTTTAAAAAGTTCTTCCCGTTTTTCCCAGTCTTCCCCATAGCCTATAAAGATGGAACACAATTAGACCAAAATTTTGTTACTTCAACTTTTTAGGTTGAACATACACGTGCTAAGAGGGCAAAAAAGTCAGGCATGGAAAGCCCACCAAGCACAAGTACTAGTGGCACTGACGATAGTAAGCAAACCTTCCAAACCTGTTGCTTATAAACAGTTAGACAAGTTACTTTTAATTGTGTGCTTTTTTACAGTAAGTAAGAGGCACCTTTTTACCCTCAGAAATCTAGAAAAGTCCCATAATTTTCTCTGTATGCTTACTTTCACCAAAGTCTAACTTGAAAGAAAACTGGTGGCCAAGTAGTTTTGAAGAGAGGTTAACTATATGTGGTCTTATACTAGTACACTTGCTCAGAACATTCTTACAAGACTTGGCTTTGAATTATGATTTGTGCAAACCTTTACCACAGTGTATATGACTGAAATGAATCAGGCTTGTCTTTTTATGCATGTTTTTTTGTCCTTCATTTGTCAAGTGTCAAGTGATATATGGTACAGGTTTGTCAGTGACATTTTTTCAATTCAATCTACTTTCAGGTGGAGATACAGAAACATTGGAATCAGGAGATACTGAAGCAGAGCAGGATGTGGAACGCGACATTGAGAAAATCTCAAAGACAGCAGCCAAAGTTGTTTTGTTAGTTGCATTCAGTGTTAATTCCTTTGACTACTTATCTATTAATAGGAATCTTAATCCTCTAGCAAAACATCTGAAAGTCAAAACACGGGGAATGGGTAAATATGAAATGGCATGTTCAATAGCAAAGCAATTGTTAAAGCAACAGTATATTGTTCCAAGGGACCCTGCACAAGAGTTAAATTACAATTGTATTAAAAGAACAGAAATTAAAAGCAACAAGAGCTTAAATTTCTTATTTGATAAGTCACCTAAGCCATCTTCAAGTGATGAGGAAGAAAATGATGAGAATATGGTTTTAACCCAAACTCAAAGTCATTAGACAGTTTCTGATAGTTTCTGAAATAAGGACATGTTGACCAAGTTACCATAATGGGTATAGTTTAACTCATTTTTATATCAAATTAAGTTGAAATTTGAAATTAAGTTGATACTGAAACAGAGCAGGATGTGGAGCGCAACATTGATAAAATCTCAAAAACAGCAGCCAAAGTTGTTTTGTTAGTTGCATTCAGTGTTAATTCCTTTGACTACTCATCTATTAATAGGAATCTTAATCCTCTAGAAAAACATCTGAAAGTCAAAACATGAGGAATGGGTAAATATGAAATGGCATGTTGAATAGCAAAGCAATTGTCAAAGCAACAGTATGTTGTTCCAAGGGACCCTGTACAAGAATTAAATTACAATTGTGTTAAAAGAACAGGAATTAAAAGCAACAAGAGCTTAAGTGTCTTATTTGGTAAGCCACCTAGTAAGCCATTTTCAAGTGATGAGGAAGAAAATGCTGAGAAAATAGATTGAGCACAAACTCAAAGTCATTAGACAGTTTTTGACAGTTTCTGAAATAAGGACATGTTTGCTAAGTTACCATTATGGGTATAGTTTAGCTTATCTTCCATATGAAATTAAGTTGATGTTATTAATTAAATATATATACCTTGAAAAGTGATTACAAGTATAAGTGACAGTTTAAGTGCAAACCTTTTGTTTGGTTTATAAAACTAAATTAAAGAAGCTACAAACTGTGCATAAAATATGTTTTATTGGTTACAGCTTTATTCAGTTTTTTTCTTGAGTTACAGATCTGTTTTAACTGAAAGGAGATTATCACTTTATAATTTGATTTTGGAAAAAAAATAAAGTTTATTTTGGTAAGGCAAATGTGGTATTACTTTGCTGGATTTAATATACCAATAGTTTTTATATCATTACATAATAATTCAATATACCAAGACTGGCAAAACAAACTATAAAACAAGATTGACAAAAAAAAACCTCCACTAATATTCCAATAAGTATTATTGTTTGCCAATAATGGAAAATTAATCAAATATGCCAACATTGGAAAAAACGTATTCAAAATTCCAGTAATTTTCCAGTCCAATATTAACATATTCCAGTATTGGGAAATTATTTCAGTGTACCAAGGATGGTAACTTAAAACTATTCTTCCAATAGTTTTCCAAACAGTATCAATATATCCCAAGGCTGGAAAAGTAATTTTGATATTTCAAGGTTGGAAAACAAAAACAATTTTCCAATAATATCCCAATGAGAATCATCATTTTCCAATATTGGAAAGTTTATTTCAAATACCAACATTGGTTTTTATATCATTTTCCCAATGTTGGTATAGTAAATAACTTTCCAGTGAAATCCCAGTAAAA